AAATGCTTATTGTAAAGTAAATTTGGCCTAGGAATCTGATCTGAACGTCACAACTAACACAAAATGCATGGTTCTGTGTGATGGCACAAATGGTTTAGCAATCCTCCACCACTAAGCAAAAGGTTGGCAGTTTGAACCCAACCAGGCATGTCACTGGGGGGAAAACCCAATGATTGACACATGTAAAGATTACAGCCACGAAAACCTTACAGACAGTTAGTTCCTCTCCATTACATGGGGTCACTGAGTCAGAATCAACTTGATGGCAGCCAACAACATAACGTACAAAGTCTTTTCCTATTGCATATAATTTATTACTATTATTATTATCATCAAGGAGCTAGAATGACTTAAAAAGCACGGACATTTAGACTTACTTTATATAGATGGCGTAGTCCTAGCACTTGTCTCTCAGTGTGGCAGACTGTGGCGGCTTGCATGTGGCTGTGATGCTGGAAGCTGTGTCACTGGTATTTCAAATACTAGCAGGGTCCCCCAGATGAACAGGCTTCAGCAGAGCTTGCGGACCAAGAGCAGGCTACGAAGAAGAAATAGGCTGTCCACTTGTGAGGGATGAGCCACTGGAAACCTTACAGAGAGAAGCAGAACCCTGGCAGACAATAAAAGCCTCATGCACAGCTGAACACTGTCTGATCCAGTCCTTGAAAGGAGCCCATCAGGCCAGAAGCCACTCAAAACAGAAGTGAGGAAGGAAGGCCTTCCTGGTGGAGTACGGTGTCCGGGATCTTCATGGTACAGAGTGACTGTACCAAACATAATTAGTCAACAGTCAACATGCTATGAGCAAGGACCAAGGACACTAAAGAAAGACATTCAAACTCCACTGAAGGCATTAGTGAAACGCAGGGCTTCAGGAATCAACAGAACACCAATTGAAATGTTTCAGCAAGCTGACGCAGCACTGCAAGCTCTCATCTATCTATGTCAAGAAATGTGGAAGACAGATACCTCGCCAACCGACAAGAAGAGATCCATATTTATACCCATTGCAAAGAAAGTTGACATCATTGAAAATTATCCACCAACATCATTAATGTTGCCTGCAAGAACAATTTTCCTGAAGATCACTCAACAATGATGACAGTGGTACAACAGAGAGCTGCCACAAGTAAGATTCAGAAGAGGACACGGAACAAGGCATAGATCCTTGCTGATGTCAGGCTGGATCCTGCTCAAGGCAGAGAATACTAGAACGATGTTTACTTGTGTTTTAGGGACTATGCAAAGGTATTTGTGTGAACCATTCAAAACTAGGAATAGCATTTAGAAGAATGGGAATTCCAGAGACCTTTATTGTGCTGATGCGGAATCTGTACACGGATCAAGAGGGATTTGTGGAAGCAGAACAAGGGAATATGTCCTGGGTTAAAATCAGGAAAGGTGCGTGTCAGAGATGTATCCCTTCCCCACACATATCAATCTGTGTGCCAAGCAAATATTCAGAGAAGCTTGACTCTGAAGATGAACACGGCATCAAGATTGGAGGAAGACGGTTCAGTAACCTGCAACATGCAGATCACACAACTGTTTGCTGAAAGTCAGAAGGACTTGAAGCACTTGCTGATGAAGATTAGGATCTGCCTCTTCCAGTGTGGGTTACAACTCAATGTGAAAAATCACCTTGCTGGGATCCACGGTCAATGCTCATGGAAGCAGCAGTCAAGAGATCAAACGACACATTGCATTGGGTAAATCTGCACAAGACCTCTTTAAAGTGTTGAAGAGCAAGGATGTCACTTTGAGGACTAAGTAAGGGGTGTCTGACTCAAACCATGGGATTTTCAATCACCTCCTAAGTAGGTGAAAGCTGGGCACTGACTAAGGAAGACTGGAGAAGTATCCAGGCACTTGACTTGCGGTGCTGGTGAAGATGACGAAAGGACCAGGAACTGCCAAAAGAACAAATGAACCTGTCTTGGAGGGTGCACAAGCAGACGCTCCTGAGAGGAGGAAGTACTGGGGACATCCTCCAGCAGAGGCCAGGCCCTGGAGAAGCCCTGATGCTTGTGAAAGTGGAGGGACATCGAGAACGAGCAAGGCCCTCGGCAAGATGAACTGACACAGTGGGCACAACAATGGGCACCAACAACACGTGAGGCTGGCATGGGACCAGGCCGGGTTTTCATCTGCCAGAGCCAGCTCAATAGCACCCAACAACGTGTGTCTGGGACATTTGTCCAAGTTAAAGAATCAAGCAAACTATCCAGATGTTTAGAGTTGTATAATTATACCATTATAAGCAAGACTATTTTTAATAAAGCAAGACTTTTTTTTTATAATTATAAGCAAGACTAATTTTAATAAAGACATGAGAACCCACAGATGCCCAGTAGGTAGATCTCTAGAAGATCTCATTTCAGCTGATAACAAAAGTCTTCATGGCTGTGAGCTTTTAGAAGCAGATTGCCAACCTTTCTGCTGACGAGCCTCTTGAGTGGTTTGAACTGTTATTTTCATTTGTAGTCAAGCTCTTAACTGTTTGTGCCACCAAGCGCTGGATTCCCTAAGCCCAGGACACAGATTTAAAAAGTGCCTATCAGGCTGCCCAGATCAGGACCAGCTTCTGTTGATGCCTGGCTTCGCTAACAGATACAAAGAGTGGCTGACCCTTTCTAAGTAGGAGGAATCCTGTCAGAGCCTAGGAGACAACCACATACTTGCTCTGCCATCATATTCTTATACTTGAGCTTCTCTTATTATCCCTAAAAACGTCACACTAATAATCCGCACACGGTCGTGTATAAGCTATGTACAAAAACTGAGCGCTCCTGTGTCTTGAATCAGACTCGGCTTCAGCACGTCTAGAAGCTCCTCTATGGGAAAAGCAGGGCATCTGGTCCAGGCATCTCTGAATAGGAACTCTCAGTCCAGATTTCCAGCACCCCCAAAGGCTCTTCCCCAGGCTCCCGGTTCTCCTTAAGCACCCTTTTATCTGCTCGGTGTTGATAAGCAATTTGGTCTGAAAAACTCAATGAAAAAAATCCAGTTCCCTGCACGAAGCATCCATTTGACTATAACCAACGTGTGTTTGGCAAAAGCTCCTTTGGATTTGTATCCAGGCCCGTTTAAGAGCATCACCCATGAAAATGGCTCATCTACTCGGATGGCCTTCTCTCGTGCTTAACTGCGCACCCAGATTGCTTACTCTGCTCTGAGCTGAACTTAATTTTAGCTCATATCTAATGGCAGCTAAAGATTCAATATTACTCTTTAAATACATGTATTTTTAAAGTATGTTCATCTTGCATACTTTGGACATGTCAGGAGAGACCAGTCCTGGAAAAGGACATCATGCCTGGTTAAGTAGAGAGCAGCGGAGGGGGTGGGGGGTGCGGGGGAGAAGACCCTGGAAGGACCCAGCAGCTGCATGGATGGGCTCAAACATCGGAACCATTGTGAGGATGGCGCAGGGCTGGGTGGTGTTTCCTTCTGTTGTACACAGGGTTTCCATGACTCAGAACCACACCTAACAACAACAAAGTAGATGGAAAGCTTCAAATTCTAAGTACCTGTGGACAGTACCTGTTGGTTCAACCGGTCACCTTTCCCATACCTCCATGTCGACTAACTTCCCCCAAAAGATGAAGGAGCTGCCATGGAAGTGACTCTGGTTCATGGCAACCCCAAGTGCCTCAGAGGAGAACCGTGCTCCACGGGGTTTTCAATGGCTGACTTTTCAGAAGCGGATTGCCAGGCCTTTCTTCCAAGCCACCTGCAGCCTTTCAGTAAGCAGTTGAGTGGGTTATCTGCTTGTGCCATCCAGCTCCTCCAAACAGAAGAAGGGCTGCTTAAGTTCACATTCCTTTGGCCCTGGGAAAATCCTCTGAAATAATTCAAAATGCTAAGCAAAAAGTCTGACATGTGACTAAAGCCTTTGCACATGAATCAGCCCCTTTGGGAGCGTGCTGTTGCAAGTACACAGCCCAGACTCGTCCTCCAGCGTCACCAGGGCCTGGGGAAAGTAAGCAGGGCCGCGACAGGAGGGCTTTCTCAGCCACAGCTCAGCAGGGGCCCATCTTCTCCCTCGGTATCGGTATCGTGCTTCCCGGGGCCTCTCGGGACAGGGATCGCTTTCTCTCATTTGCACAAAGAATGCTTACCTAGAGACGCCCAGGACGGAGCCTGCCAGATGTCGTTCAGCTGCCAGTAAAGGGCTCCCATGGTGTGGCCTTCTCCTTCCACTATCTCGCTTCGACTGCGGCGGTAGAACTCAGTTTCTATTTTGACACACTGGGCCTGCATCACCTGATTCCGGGGAAGACAGGAAAGCACAAATGGTATTGTTTGAGCAAAGCTGTGTCGATCTTAAGAAATTACAGGCCGGCGTCTCTAAGGCAAATTGGATAAGTTGGGGAATTTAATTAGCATGAGGGACACCATTATTCAACTGGCACCTAAGCGTGAGAGAAGTTGTTGCCTGGCAACAAGAAGACACCTCTGCTCCCAGCCCGTGATCCCTAAGAAGTCAGACATTGCTCTGTGGAGTGTGTGTGCAAGCATCTCTGGAGGAGGAGCAGAGACCCCAGTCCCCAGACATCTCAGAATCTGATGGCCCAGCTCTGACCCGCCAGGCACAGACAGTGGATGGACTCACTTTGATGGACAGTGGATGGACACCAGCCCTTGGATGCGGGCCCGCAGTCCTGCAGCTCCCCAGACCTAAAGTAGCCCCACGTCAGTCCTCCCTGATATAACCAAGAGTCCTGAGCACCTGCAACATTCTGACCCAACTGGCCCCCCTCGGGACTTGGCTCAGCCAACTCATGAGACGTGGGAAAAGAATTCGGAGTCACTTTCCATGGGTTCGGATTGATAAGGCTGGACAAATAAGAGACATCTAACAAAAGAAATTTAAAAGACGAAGAATTCTGAGGTAGAAAACAACTATCCGTGTAAATGATGAAGCCTTCTTAGGACAAAAAGAAAACCAGGACAAAACCGTACTCTAACAAAGAAGCCATGTACATGCTCAATTGGCGCGAACCCAAAGAACAACGAGATATTTTACTGATGGTCTTGGTACATGTGATTTGCCTTTTCTTTTTCTTACTGGTGAATTAAGCCTTTGTATGGGGGAATGGAAAGTCTTGAGCCAAAGTATTTACTTCATTCTAAATTCCTTTCCGAATTTTCTTACCATGTATTATAATTCATATACATTCATCATTTTGTACTCAGCTCTCAATGTACATATGAGGGGGTGCAAAAAACACCCCCAAACAACAGAAAAAAGCTCCACTGGGTAGAGCTTTCATAGTATGCATGCTCCCCAGTAGACAAGCATCTAGCAACTTGCTTTGAGTTAGTGCACCCAGTGGCGTTGCCTGGGAAGGTTCTCTCTGTCACAGTGAATTTTTTCATAGAAATAGTTTTGCTCGGACCTCATTTTTTTTGTGATGGTTGATTTAAGAGAACAGCGTGTGACTGTAAAATTTTGTTTTCTGCTCAAGGAAAAATGCTGCAGAAACTGTTGTGATGTTGAACACAGCTTACAAAGACAGTGCAATGGGAAAAATTTGAGTGTACAAGTGGTTTTCACATTTCAAAAAAGGTAAAATGTTGATTGATGATAAACTTCATTCTGGACATCCATCAACCTCTCAAATGGTCAAAAATGGGGATTCGAGTATGTTTGGAGTTCATTCCACCAGGTCAGACTGTTAATCAAGCTTTCTATTTAGAGGTTCCGTAACAGTGTGTGACAAAAAAGACCTGATTTGTGGCAGACAGGTTTTGCCACAATGACATTGCACCTGTCCATGCAGCCATCTCAGTGCTCCAGTTTTTTGGCAAAACCCGCATGCCTCTCTTTCCCCACACACTTTACTCACCTGACCTTGTTCCATGTGATTTCTTTTTGTTTCTGTTAATGAAGAGGGACATGAAAGGATAGCAACTTGACAACGCAGAAGAGGTAAAGAAAAAAATGAGGGAGGTGCTGTCAGCCATCCAAACAGATGAGTTTGAAAAATGTTTCCAAGAATGGAATCACAGTTTTGACAAATTTATTAAGTGTAATGGAGACTACTTTGAAGGTGCTAAGGTTGTTTAGTAAAAAAAAAAAATTTAAATACATAGCTTTGAAAAAAAATCCGGTTTATGGGGGGGTACCCCTCGTATGCACATTTCCACACTCTGATGCTTTAAATATACTTTTGTGCTTTATATTTTTATATAGTTCTATCACAGCTTGATTAATCATTCTCTAATTATTAGGCATTAAAATGGTTTCTAGTTGTTTTGCTTCTGAAAATACAAGTACTAAGGGCATTTTTCTGTTCAAATACTTTCTTGTTCTCTTCTTGTGCTGTTTCCTTTGGTAATAAAATAAGCTCAGTTTTACGCTGGGTGTTGAACACAGCCATATTACGCTCCTTGGGAGAATACTGCAAGCTGTGACCTCCAGGATGAACTTAGGCAGGAAAGGGTTTCCAGTGACCTAAACTGTGTTTTTTAAACATTCTCATGATTATGGTTATTACTTTTGAACGATATGCAGATTACACAACCTGGCTTGCTGAAAGGGGAAGAAGACTTGAAACGCGAAGGAAGATGCAATCCTGCAGCCTTCAGTATGCTTACACTTCAATGTAAGGGACACAGATCTCCTCACAGCTGCACCAGCAAGCAGCAGGAAGGGAAGTAGTGTTGACGTAGTCAGGGGTTGCACTGTCCTTGGGCCCACAATCAATGGCCATGGAAATAGAAGTCAAAAAATCAAATCAGACGGGGGGCAGTTAGGGGCAGTGGGCAGAAAGAAGAATAAATCAAATGATGTCTTGCATTGGGCAAATCTGCTGGGAAAAAAAAAAACAAAACAAACCTCTAAAAGGTACAAAAGCAAAGAGGTCGCCTTGAGGACTGAGGTGCTCCTAACTCCAGCCATGGTATTGTAATCTCCACATATGCATGCGACAAGTGTGAGACCAGAGAACAATGCATATGTTTGAATTACGGTGTGGATGCCAAATATTGACTATACTATGGACTGACAGAAGAGGGAACACGTCTGTCTTGGGAGAAGTGTACCCAGAATGCTCCTTAGAAACTCTGGAATGCTCTTCGAAGAACTATAACCAGAAGTGAAGACCGCGAGCCTTTGTCTGACATACTTCAGACACGCTATCAGAAGGGACCAGTCCCTGGAGGAGGACCATCACGCTTGATAAACATGGAAATGATGGTGAATGTGGTGCAGGGCTTGGCAGAGTTTTGTTCTGCAGCGCCTGGGCTAACTATGACGTGCCGACTCGACGGCACCTAACAGCGCACACTCCATTTTGCCACGATCTCCAGCTCTCGTCCCCAGGTGAAACTCCCCAGGTGGCCCCCAGAAGCATGGTCTCTCAGCCCCTACGGTAGAATCAACTTTTAGAACTCCCTGTAAGATAGAAGTATATATTTTCCTACATCCACACTATCATTAGCTGCTACAGGATAATGGATTGTTTCTGATTTAACAAGTATTAGTTACTCCTGAGAATTTTTCCACTTTAAAGAAAAAGTATAATATAAGCACAATTCCCAGCCCTTGCCAGCAACAAAAGGTAAAGAGCCCTAGGTACTAATTCCACCCAGTAGCCAAGACTCCTTTGAACACTCAGGGTTTGAGAACAGTGTAGTGCACCCTACAAAACAGATGGTGGTACAGAAATGCAGATCTGGGAATACCCAAATCTGTGGGGGCCACAACTAGGTCCAGTGAATGACACCTTTGTCCATTAAATGACAGAAGGATGCTGCTGCCTACTGCTCTTCGTAAGAGGAGATTATAATCAATTACAATCAATTACAAATACAATCAATTACAATCAATTACAATCTGAACTCCTGGGAGATTTTCTGAAGCTACCTGTTTCCCTTCAACAGGCATGCCTGAATTTACCCACCCAAGCCCTCTTTCCGAAAGAGTGCCATCGTCGCACACAAAAAGGGAGAGGCGCTTAGTCATTTCCTAGGTGGCAGAGTCCCACTGTTAGCAGGCAAATCTTATTTTAGTTGTAGAAATAGGCCTATTTTCAGCAGCTTGCTTGATTACATTATGAAATGAATCTCCTTCGAGAGACAGATGGTATGGTGAAAAGAAATTGGACCAGGAATCAAAGGCCTGCGTTCTAATTCCAGCTTTGCTTCTGTGAGGGAAGCTGCTGGCCGTCCAACTGCATTCTCGGCTTTCTTCAAGGTGACAGGATTACAGTGGGGCCACGTCCCCCTCTGCCTGGAACGAGGAGTCACTGAGGGACAGGATGTGAGTTTTACCCTTTAATGACTTCAATTACCCCGACAAGAAGAAGTAAGATCCTTCCAATACAGTAGTATTTTTCATTGAACTCTATCCATATATGTCTTCTTTGGAGAAAGCCTGAAGTCCATTTGCAGGGTCCGCACATGGATTAAGCCTCTGGTGAATGCCCTCTGAGCATGGTCAAGGGGTGTGAATGACCTTGCTATTAGAGCCAAAAGGCAATTATGGCAGGTGTAGTTAGGCTAAAATTGAATAGCTTGTCATTTGATCTCCCTTTTAACCCATTTGTCAGTTTGAAGGAAAAAAAGGGTTGGGGGGGGTGGGTACTGGTGAATTAAGCCTCTGGTGTATCCCCTCTGACCATGGGCCAGGGATGGGAACTGCCTTGCTACCATGAGAATGCTTGGGAAAGTGGATTATTGCAGATGCAGTTAGGTTAATATTTAATACCTTATTATTTGACCTTTCTTTTGACCTATTTAAATTTGTTCTAGCTTTTAATATTATCTACTTTCTTTTTGATTGAGGTTTTTCTATTTTGTTATTTTTGTTGGTTTTGTTGTTGTTGTGTCAGGCACATTTGTACATTTGTTGCCATCATCATTCTCAAAACATTTGCTTTCTACTTGAGCCCTTGGTATCAGCTC